ACCAGGTCTCATATAGAGAGATGCTGAATATACAGATCTCTAAAAGTCAAGGGCTTGGCATCTGTGCAAGTCTGGTCTGTTATCTCCCGGATCAAAGAACAAATCCTCTCAGTGTCTCCTCTGCCTTTTTAACCTCACAAAACCCCAACCTTTTAGCAGTCATGTATTCACATAATGCTCCTACTTCGATATAGCACAGATTGCAAATAATATCTTTGCTGCACAAGTATGAAGTGAATCTAAGTGTAAAATCAGACCCATTTGTCATTCTTTATTATGGCAGTTATTTTTAATTTAGAAGAATATAAATACTAAGAATGCACCCTCATATTACAAGCAGAGTTCTGTGGTGTGTTTCTTTGCAAGCAGCACGCTTGGCTTACCAGAGAAGATACTAAATGCTCCCTGCATCTTATTCCAAAAGCTATCACCAAACACAGGAAAACATCCTTATTACGACTGTTCTGTAGATTCACAGAATCAAGCTCACCTCCAGAATCCAATTCCCAGGGATCCATTTCTATTTATTTGAGATGCTCTTTTCCTGCCAGTCTTCCGGAGCAAGGAATACCAGTCACTATAGTTACTCCAAGCTGGTAGTGCTTTCAATGTGCCATTCATGGTGGCACTTGTGATGAACACACGCACCTCTCACAAGCCTTACAAGGCTGCTCTCTGAAAAAGAAAGGCGCATGAAAGAAGGGTCATGGTGTGAATATATCCAAAATATATCCAATTTACATGGTGAATAAACACCACACCTTCTATCTCCTTTTTCTCACCATTATTTGACAAATTTCTAATATGCAGTGTAGCAGAAACGGCTATTACGTGACTGGGTTTTATTGAGACTGCATTTTAAAGATGTGCTGAAAGCTGCATGTAAATTGGATCCTACCTCTGTGACAGTGTCCCAGCTTCCCCAGTGACTTAATTACAGGTGCTGTGCATTGTGTCAACAGACTCTGATCAATCGTTTTATCTGGCTCATCTGCTGGGAAAATACTTTGTTCGGGTAAGCCTGTATTGCCTGTTAGACTATGATCAAGGCACCAAAATGCACCTTGTGCTCTAGCATTGCAGTTCTGCAGTGAAGATGGAAAAGTGGGGAGACTGCTCCAGAGATCTCTCTACTGAGCTTAAATAATGAAGAATTAAGGGACGTTGATCATACGGCGTGCAACTAGCTTCCTAACAGGCTTAATTATAAATGTTGTGCACTGTACAGCTGCAAGAGGAGATGGGTGTTAGCTGGTGAATGCATCTTCTGAAATTACTCAGGTGAACGTACAGTGAACCTGAAGGACTAGGGGATAAATCCAGAAGAATCCAGAAGAAATCCCAAATTAGAAAACGGCAAGAGAAAATGGTTCACTATATATAACTGAATTGTTTCTAACTGCCTAACTGCTAAAAAAAAAGGTTATGAACTGCCACTAAGCAGCCATTGAAAATGAAATGCAATACTTACACATCGATAGATGACAGCATTTGGTTATAGCTGCATCTGATGCTCAGTTTCCTAAATGGAGCTCTTTTTTTTTGCCTTTTTTTTTTCTTTTTCCCATTTAAATTACACGTTTAAGTATAGCTGCCTAATCGTTATCCTTGGTGTATATTTTCACACTGGTTGGGCAGTCTGCTGAAAATCAGCGTTGAGCTGAGCACCCATGGTAATTAAGAGTCTCAATCCTGCATGCAGTCAGGACCTCACAGGTAGGGCACCAGCATACAAGCGATGACAAGTGCAACCAACACCACCAAAAAAAGACACAGAAGGAAAAAAAAACACCACAGGTGGAAACGTAAAGGCAGAGTGGAACCACGATTGCCAGGCAGAAAAACAGCCGAGTGGGAGTTTGCCGTTTAAGAAACCTCTGAAACGGCATACGTTATGTTTAGATTAGAGAGATGAAGGAGAGTTTCATAACCGAGGAGCTCGGGCTGCGCGAGGGCACAGGGACATGCAGTGCCGCAGCCGCTCGCTGCTCGCGTGGGCCCGGCTCCCCACGGAGCGGCCGCGCAAATCACAGACCACGAAGGCACTTGTTGGTAACTTTGCCATTACTGGGGTTTTGGCACCTAAAAAAAAAACTTTTTTCTTTCTTCCCCTCGTCCTCGTGCTGTGCATCATAAATCGCTAGTGGGTTTGGCAGCCACGTGGGGACGTCGATGTGGCAGAGCAGGGCGCACTAGCTGCAGCCGTGGCCCGCGCCTCGTGCTGGCTGCAGCTCTGCGCTCCTCCTGCCGCCCCGGGCCCCCTCACGGCCACGAGGCGCGGGTGGGAGGCCCGCCGGTCCGCACG